AGACTCCACCCGCCCGAAGAAAGGCGCCCCAAAAATAGCCGGGATCTGCTTCAGGGGGGAGGGGGAGAGGTTGGGGGGCCCGCCCCGATCGGCAAAGCAGTGAGTTGAACAACGATCACCGGGCAGGAGGGGGGAAGGGGCGGAGGACGCGGCCGAAAGGGGGGGGGCGGGCCAGAGGGGAAGCGAGCCGACCGCGCGGCGGAACCAGCGGCGCGGCGACGTCACCAGGGAACGGAGGCTGGCCATCGCTCGGGCGTCCATTCCCTGTGCTTTTGTTCGGTTTCGTGCGTGGTTTCTTCGCCAAATGATCAAGGATGCTCCTCGATGGTCCTCGCCGAAAGACACATGCACACGTCCGAGCGATGCCAGGGGGGGGGGCGCTGGCCGGGGCGGTGGGCGGGCCCTGGGTGCCCACAAGCACGCGGCTCCGATGCAGACCCGCGGCAGCGCCGCCGGCAGAGCTCGGAGAGCAGCTCTTCGCAGATGCTGGCGCGCTCGCTCGCCTACGATTGCTCGTGCGCTGGCCCAGCTGCTGGTTTCGTGTCGCTCGCTCGCTGCCGCTTGCTTGCGTACGAGTGTCTCTTGACTGCGCCTGGCTGCGACACTTGTCGCTTGAGTTCTTGTTGGCTCGCATGTCGACTCTGGCTTGCTTGTCTTGACAGAATTCCGCAGACTTCCGCCAGACATTCTCGGGGGCCCAGTTCTGCTCGCTGGAGCCTCATCTTCCCCAGACCTCCCCCAAAGCGGCGACACATTGGGAATCCTCACTGAGAAATAAACAATACAGAGAGGCAGTTGACAGGGTCTGCCCCTGAGCGTCAGGAATGGAGAACCAACTGAATACATAAGCATTCTCCCAAGAGGCTCCCAAGTGGCCTCCAAGATGCTCCCACGAGGCCCCCAAAACTGCCCCCCAGAAGCCTACCAGAGCGCTCCGAAGAGATCCCAAACAGAATCCCTTAGGACTCTGACGCACGTCAACGTAGTCGTCGTCGTCCTCGTCGTCCTCGTCGTCGTCGTCGTCGTCGTCGTCGTCGTCGTCGTCGTCTTCCCCCCTTTAGCGTCGGCGGCACCAGCCGTGCCGTAAGGCCGTCGCAGTACAGAAACCTGCTCCCTGGGAGGCCCACACCGGTCTCCAGAGTCGGCGCTGGGCCCCCTGCCTCCCCGCACTGGGGCGGCGCCGGAGGCGCTGCAGGGGGACCGGGAAGGGAAGTCCAGCGCCGATGCCACGGCCCTCCGGAGGTTTCCGCTCATGCGTCGTATGTTCGACCCAACAAAGATCGCGCGCATGCTAACGTGGATTAGGGATCCGTGGACCTGGCGCTGGGGGCCCAATCCACGGATCGGGGAACGCACCCCCTGTACATGGCGCCAGTGCCGCCTCATTTGGCGACGCGGCGCGCCGATGAAGTACGGAAACGGGACCCGTCGCTAATCCACGTGCCCTGATATTCTAATTTCCCCGGCAGGAGCAGCAGGGCGAGGATGACGAGCAGGCTGCAGATACCGAAGCAGATGGGCGCCCACTAGACATCTATGCTCTACACATGTCCTGTCCTTGTCTGGCCCATCCTGTGCACGGGATCGGTGTACGTATATGCCCCCCTGGGTTAGGCTGAGGTGCGTGTGCACCTGCCAGGCCTGGTGGTGCCCTGGCCGAGATCGGTGTAGTGCATTTCGGGCGTTGGCAGAACTGGGTTTAGTGGGACTTGGTTTAGTGATGTGTACTGGGGGACGCCCCCCCCTCCCGCCCCGTTCCACGAACTGGAATGGCCCTCACCCGAAAAAGAAACCAGCTACGGCAGACCTGGTTTAGTGACTCTGGCCAACTTAGGGACCCTAGGGCCCTACCACTAACCAGGTCCCCTTACCTGGGGTTCTGTGGGGGCCCAAAAGATATATACACCACCACCACGTCGATTCCTCCTCTCTCCTCTTTCCAGCGAGAGGGAGGGGGGGGAGGGAGGTGGTGGTGGTGTATATTTTTTGGGCCCCCTATCCTGGCTAAACCTGAGCACTGTTCGCATTCCCCAGGGAGGGGCAGCGCATGATCGAGTCACCTGGTCTATGCGCGCCAGCGCGCCCACGAGGAGCGAGCGGCCCTCGTGCAGCACGTAGGATATCGGGTGCAGCCGCTTCCTCTCGGAGCACCGTGCGAGGAGGGGCTCGGGAACCAAGCGGAGGTCATTGAGACGGTCAAGGTGCGCGCGGGGTGTGGGGGGGAATCCGATCCTGTCATGGCTGCACAGGAGGGCCAGGCGCGTAACTCCCGCTCCAAGGTCGCAAGAACACGCGCCAAATGCAATGATTCGCGCATGATCAAGAATGCGCGGATCCAGAGACGGGAGAGTCAACGCACACGTTTGGGAGCGCATCCAGGTGGTCACCGCCAGAAGAGCAAACCGTAAGAGACAACAATGCGAGCCTTGGTTGGATGGAATCTCCGCTGCACCACCCAGGGCTGAGGCAATGGGGGGTTAGCCCTGGGCTTAGGTCGGGCATGTCCTCCTGCAGGCGGATTTTGGAGGAATTCAAATTAAACAAATAATCAAGCTATGCCCCCAAATAGTAAAGAATTGTATAAAAAATCGTTCCCGTGCATTTTTGTAACTATTTTTGAATACTCCTTCTGTAGAGGGACATGCCCGACTGAACCCGGGCAGGGAGAGAGCCATGCTGCCTGCTCGCCCGCCACATGCGCTGCTCCTGGCCAGGCCCACCCGGGAGGTCCAGGAGCGGCATAACTACGCTTAGGTCGGGCATGTCCCCCGACAGGCGGGTTTTGGACGAAACAAACATGTGTTTGTTCTGTTTAAGAACAAAGAGAGAGAGAGAGAGAGAGAGAGAGAGAGCGAGAGAGAGAAAAACAAAAAAACAAAAGAGACACACAACAAACAAAAACGCCACAATGGTCAAACAATCGTCCCCAGACTATCTTTGGACTATTTTTTGATATTCCTCCTGTAGAGGGACACGCCCGACTGAAGCGTAAGCAGGCGCCCTCCTGCACCGCTCGAAGAGCAGAGGACGGGCCTGGCCACGAGCGACGGCTCTGCAAAACGATACGCCTCGCCGCCCGACGCGGGGGGAAGCCGCCCGAGGGCCCTGGACGGCCTCCTGGGCCGCCCAGGAGCCCCAGACCCTTCTAGCAGAGTGGACGCAAGGGGGGCCGCCCCTCCCCCCGTTCACGGGCGATGGATCTGCGATGAGAAGCCTCCTCGCCCGACGCGGAGGAGGCCGCCCGAGGGCCCTGGACGGCCTGCTTCGCCGCCCCTGCGGAGCCCCAGACCCTCCGGCGGAGTGGGCGCGAGGGAGTTCGGGCGAGACGTTGGTCTGCCATGCACCCGCCATTTTCAGCCCCTGCTCCGATACCGTACTAACTCCGCTTCCCCTCAAGGGGGCCATCACCCCCCAGAACGAGCTGTCTGCCAAACGAAGTGGGCACGAACTGTCTGCCATGCATGTCAGCTCGACCCGCGTCCTCGGCACGAGGGTGAAAAGGTCGATGCCCTCCCCCAACAGGTTTGTGACCTGACTGGGAAGCAGCGAATCCGTCGGCAGGACAATCACAGACGTCACAAGAACACTCGAAATGCTGGCCGAAACACACATCACCTTGGTGACACGCGCTGAAGTGCAAGGCACAATCAAACTCAACATGCAAGGGAACATAACGACTAACGAACACTGAGAAAACATATAGGACATCGCGTGCTTAAGGGGTCGCTGATGGGAGGAAAAACTAAGAGGCAACAAAGATGAAGGCCTTACTCCATGAACGACTACAAGGATCACAATGCCGCGATATACACTAGCAGATGAAGAACACAGTGTGCAAGCACTGCTCCGGGGAACTCCTGCGACTCGAGAACGACTGGCCAGAGCGCAAAGGTCCCACGGGACCGGTGCAAAAGATTGACCCTCGAGCCGCCCGTGGCCGAAACTCAGTGACGCGCCAGAGGTGTCGTGCGCTCCACGCGGTGGCCAGATCGCCGATCGGGTGCGCGAGGGGAGCGGAGAGGAAGGCCGCCACGACGGAGGCGTCGTGGGGCACCGAGGGGACCACGGAGGGCACGGCTGTGATGAGCGCACGGACGATGCGCCGTGCGAGCAGCCGGCGCGCACCTCGTGTTGGCGGGGGGCACGGCGAGGACGGCCAGAGGAGGCAAAGCGCTGCAATCGCGGAGCCTCCGCGCTGAAGGCTCTCGCGGTGCTCCTCGGAGCACTCGCGCACACCGCCCACGGCGCGGCAGCGGGTGTACGCAGCAGAACAGCGGGTTTGATAGCGCAAGTGCGGAGGAGGAGGAAGAGCAGGATGCGGAACAACAGGAGTGCAAATGCTATGGAAGAGTTGTGTCTTACGTCTGTGTTGAACACATGTCCCTCTGACCACAGGGCAAGGCAAGAGAAGCAGGACGAAGGAGCTTACATAAGAGGGGGACGAGGGGACCGACGGAGAAGGCAGAGGAGGGCGAGGATGGTGCGGAGGGGGAAAGAGGACGAGGGGCGGACAAGTGGCAGGGGATGGCGGAGGAGGTATGAGGGAGAAGGATGATGAGGAGGGACAAAGGGGGGAGAACTGAGCGAGAAGAAGCAGGAGTGAAAGGCGGGAGGCGGAGGAAGAAACGACGAGCGGGGTAAGGGAGAAGAGGAGAAGGATGTTAAGGACGGAGGAAGGAAAAAGAAGAGAAGGAGGGATGCAGGAGGGAGGGCAAGAGAAGGCGACGAAGTGGGAGTGAACAAAGGATAGGGAAGAAGGGAGAAGAGAGAGTGTTGTAGGATGAGGATTGATGGACGGAGCAGGAATAAGCTCGGATGGATGAAGGGGGGGATGTTAAAGGGAGGATGGAGGAGGAGGGAGGAGGAGGAAGGGTGCGGAAGGAAAGGCGTAGATAGGAAGAGTAGAGGAGAGGAGGGGGGAAAGGGGATGGAGGGGCGAGGACAGAAGGAGGATGTAAGAGGGAGGATGGGAGAGGGATGTGGAGGCACCAGGAGGGGGCAAATAATGCGGAAGGGCGCAAGATAAGGATGCCGATAGTACAGCGAGGACTCTCCAATGATGTACAATACACAAAATCACGTCGTAAGCCCCTCCCTCACGAATCCATATCCGCACTCCGTTTTCACTACGGGGGGGGGGGGCGCCCCCCTTGAAGACAAGCGCACGATGGGTTGGCATGTCACGCAGGCGGGAGCCCCGCTGTCAAAACACCGGACATCCAACAATAGCAACAACAACGCAACAAGCAGAATTCTCACCATGGATTCCTTATTCAGCCACGCACCCAGGACCCGGAACAGGACGAGGGGCTCGCGCCTCGCTCTGAGGTCCTCCAGACCGCCCTTAACGAGGAGCGCGACAAGCGTCGCATCTTCGTGGTGGCCCTAGACTCTCGGGGACCGTGGGCGTGGTCGAGCGACGAGCAACACACAGCCGTACCCACGGGGGTGACGGAGGGGGCTGTGGGCGCGTGCTGTCGGATAGGGGCCCCTGCTCGAGCGAGGGCCTCCCCCGGGGCCCGATGACCTGCACCCTCACCCACAGCCAGTCCTCCTCCCGCCGACCCCCCTATGGGTGGTATGGTTAACTCGGGCATGTCCCTCTACGGGAGGATGGAGGCATGTTCAAAAAATCAAACCAATACTCTGGGGAAGATGTTTTGACTATTTTTGGCCATTTGGGAATATTTCTGGATTGCTCTCAACATGTCGCCCAAAATCCCCCTGTAGGAGGACACGCCCGACCTAATGGTATGGGTGTGTGTTGTTCGTTCGTCAATGGTTGGCGTGTCGCGCGGAAGGGGGGCCAAGACCGGCAGAGCGACACGCCAAACCAGAGTTCTGCATCGCACCTCATCACGATTCACGGGTGGCCAGCCACTAACACCGTGGGAAGCACGCGCGCTCGCGAGCCCGAGCGCTCGCGGGCACGAGGCCAGCCGAGGGCGCGTCAGCCCGACATCGAACGCCCCTTCTCTCTGCCATCCTGAATTCCTCTCGGGGCCCGCGCGAGGGGCCTGGCTGCGGGACGGGATGCCGGGGGTGTCGACGACCCGGAACCTGGGGGGAACAAAAAAGATACGGACACCGCTGGTTGCGAAATAAACACCCACGGCAGGTCACATGACATTGAAACGCGCCCCCCTCGCCACCGCATTTCAATGTTGGTGGGGAAGCGGATGGGCCCCTTGCAAGGGTGGGCCTTCATTTCACACTTCGCACTTCCTTCCTCGTCCCCCAAAGCCCACCAGCCCTTTAAGGCGTGAGTGGTTTAGCGAGTTTCCGCTTCCAACCTCCTTCTTCCCCTTCGGGGAATTGTTTATCACTGTTCCCTATTAATAAACACCCCCTCCCCCAGGCGACTGGTAGCCAACCCACAACCATGCGGGCCCCCCCCCCATCCCTTGGACAAATTATGCTAACGGAGTTCCCCACATAAAGAGATTAACGGTTTCGTGGGACCCATTTTCTTGATGCCCTCCTCGCTTTGGCGGGGCCCCGCTGGAAGGGGGGAGGGCTACGAAACCTGGCGAAGAGTAATGCTTTCCGCGACCCTCCTCGAAAGGCACGAAACCATGTAAATAGTATGGTATACCCTCCTCGCTCAGGCGGGGCCTCCCTGGAGGGGTGGGAGGGGCACGAAACCATGTAAATAGTATGGTTTTCGGATACCCTCCTCGCTCAGGCGGGGCCTCCCTGGAGGGGTGGGAGGGGCACGAAACCATGTAAATAGTATGGTATTCCGATACCCTCCTCGCTCAGGCGGGGCCTCCCTGGAGGGTGGGAGGGGCACGAAACCATGTAAATAGTATGGTATTCCGATACCCTCCTCGCTCAGGCGGGGCCTCCCTGGAGGGGTGGGAGGGGCACGAAACCATGTAAATAGTATGGTATTCCGATACCCTCCTCGCTCAGGCGGGGCCTCCCTGGAGGGGTGGGAGGGGCACGAAACCATGTAAATAGTATGGTTTTCCGATACCCTCCTCGCTCAGGCGGGGCCTCCCTGGAGGGTGGGAGGGGCACGAAACCATGTAAATAGTATGGTATTCCGATACCCTCCTCGCTCAGGCGGGGCCTCCCTGGAGGGGTGGGAGGGGCACGAAACCATGTAAATAGTATGGTATTCCGATACCCTCCTCGCTCAGGCGGGGCCTCCCTGGAGGGGTGGGAGGGGCACGAAACCATGTAAATAGTATGGTTTTCCGACACCCTCCTCGCTCAGGCGGGGCCTCCCTGGAGGGGTGGGAGGGGCACGAAACCATGCAAATAGTATGGTATTCCGATACCCTCCCTCGCTCAGGCGGGGCCTCCCTGGAGGGGTGGGAGGGGCACGAAACCATGTAAATAGTATGGTATTCCGATACCCTCCTCGCTCAGGCGGGGCCTCCCTGGAGGGGTGGGAGGGGCACGAAACCATGTAAATAGTATGGTATTCCGATACCCTCCTCGCTCAGGCGGGGCCTCCCTGGAGGGGTGGGAGGGGCACGAAACCATGTAAATAGTATGGTATTCCGATACCCTCCTCGCTCAGGCGGGGCCTCCCTGGAGGGGTGGGAGGGGCACGAAACCATGTAAATAGTATGGTATTCCGATACCCTCCTCGCTCAGGCGGGGCCTCCCTGGAGGGGTGGGAGGGGCACGAAACCATGTAAATAGTATGGTATTCCGATACCCTCCTCGCTCAGGCGGGGCCTCCCTGGAGGGGTGGGAGGGGCACGAAACCATGTAAATAGTATGGTATTCCGATACCCTCCTCGCTCAGGCGGGGCCTCCCTGGAGGGGTGGGAGGGGCACGAAACCATGTAAATATTTCCGATACCCTCCTCGCTCAGGCGGGGCCTCCATTGGGAGGGGCACGGAACCATGTAAATAGTACCCCGATACCCTCCTCGCTCAGGCGGGGCCTCCCTGGAGGGGTGGGAGGGTGGTATGGTATGCTATGGTATGGTATGGTATGGTATGGTATGTGTGGTAATTTATGGTATGGTGTGTGTGGTAGGAATAATCTTGTGCTGTATGGAAGATGGAGCGGGAGGTGGGTGGGAAGGAGAGGGTGTTCTGGGAAAACAAGAACCCCACTCAGGATGTGGGGAAAAACCATACAAAACACATTCTGCCTCCAAATTCGGAGCACGCGCAGCCAACCCGATGCGGCCTCCCCTCACCATCCCTGTCAAAAAAATGCAGAGTACACTTGGCGGCGGCGGCGGCGGCTGCGGCGGCAGCGGCGGCGGCGGCGGTGACGGCGGCGGCGGGTGGCGCGGCGGCGGCGGCGGCGGCTGCGGCGGCAACGGCTGCGGCGGCGGCGGCGGCGGCGGCGGTGGCGGTGGCGGCAGCGGCTGCGGTGGCAGCGGCTGCGGCGGCGGCGATTTGGCAGCGGGGGCGGCGGCGGCGGCGCGGGCGGCCGGCGGCGGCGGCGGCGGCGGCGGGCAGCCGGCAGCAGCGGCGGCGGCGGCGGCTGCGGCGGCGGCGGCGGCGGCGGAGGCGGAGGCGGCGGCGGCGGCGGCGGCCGCGGATTGGCCCCCAGTGCCCAGTAGCTGCCCATCCAAAGACGACTGCTGAATATGCTGAGGCTCGGGCCAGACTCGGTTTCTACGTACGTGTTGGGAGGGCGGGTTGGAGTGAGCGAGACGGCTTGCGGGCGGTGAGGGAATCTTGATCCCTCCCCCTACCCTCTCCCCCTGGACCTGGACGGGGGGCTTCGCGACCGACTGTAGCGTCCAAATTGGCCTCGGCGAGAAGGAACACATCAGAGATTTCACGTAGATTTTGGGCCAATTTCGGCCTCCTATGGGGGGTCTAATATGGGACCCCCTTCTTTGGTCGAACTCCTTCAAGATGGCGCCAAAATGGCCTCTCATGCTCCCAAGAGTGCCCCAAGAGGAGTACAAGAGGCCCCCCAGGGCTCCCCAAGTGGTCCCCAAGAGGCTCCCAAGAGACCCCAAGAGGCTCCAAGAGGCCCGCCCGAGGCACCCAAAACGCTCTAAGAGGCCCCCAAGGCCGCCAAGAGGACCCCAAGACACTCCAAGAGGACCTACAGAAGTTTCCAGAAACATCCGAAGAGATTCCGAGAGGCATCCAAGAGGCCTCTGGCCACTGCTCGCCCTCCTCCTCCTCCTCCTCCTCCTCCTCCTCCTCCTCCTCCTCCTCCTCCTCGCCATCCTCCTCCTCCTCATCCGCATATTCCTCTTCGTCCCTCCTGCGTCCCCGCCCCTCCCCCTGCCCTTCCTCCTCCGATTCCTCCTCCATCCTCGTTCTCCCCCTCTTGGGGTACGGCGGCTTCCCCAACCCCTGATTACACTGCATGCTCCTCAACATCCCTGATGAGGGCAGCTCGTCCGAGCATCGTTTCTGGACGGGCCCGCGAAGCGTCTAGAAGGAACTTGAGATGCGGGTGCCACAGGGGGGCCTTTCGGCACTTCACCCGGTGCGCGCTCATTTCGCAAACGGCGGTGCCGCGACTCCGGGACCTCCGACGGGGCGCGTCCCGACCAGCGTTCCGGGAGGGGGGGGGGTCCAGCCGTGGAGGCGAGGGCTCTCCAGGACGTCCGAGAGGGCGCAAGCGGGGGCGGAGGAGGGAGGCTGTTCGAGCGGACGCCCACACCGGAAGCAAGACATGGGGGGTGATCGAGGACGGCAGGGACCTGGCCCTGGCGGGGACCTGAGAAGGGCCCTGAACTGCCTCTCCGCGCCCCCCCAAAAAACACGAGGGGTTGGGGCCCCCCCTGGGCACGTTCCCCGGAGGCTACAGCGCGGCCGAGGTGTAGCCTCGGGGGGGGGGCGACGTGTCGGCCGAACTCTCGGGCGACACCTGAACGGGCTCGGCCGAAATGTCGGCCGATGCCCGTCCGTTTCCGCCAATGGTGCCGTGCGCCCGAGCAGGAGGGGCAACGACAGTGGGGGGGGGGCCAGATCAGGGGGGGAGGGGGGGCATTGGGGGGGAACACCGAGGTGGAATCGGCGATACGTCGCCGACAGATCGGCGAGAGGCCCCCGATGGTGAGCGTTTTTGTTTTTTCGGCGTTTCGACATTGGGCGGAAAGGGGGGGGGTCTGGCTCCGGACCTCTGCTTGGTGCGACTGTTTGGAACCGTGCGTCCTCTGGGGGAGACTCCACCCGCTCGAAACAGGCGCCCAAAAATAGCCAATATCCACTCCATGGAGGCGGGGTGGGAGGGGGGATGCGAGGGACCGCGCCGATCGGCAAAAGAATGAACAAGCATTATCCCGGCAAAGCAACCTAACAGCGATGTGTAGGAGCATATCTGGAAGCATTCCCCTGAAGATTCACATGAGAATCCAGTTGTAGAATTCTGCTGTTCTCGCAGTCGCAGTCGCATTCGCGATGAAAGTCGCAGTGGCAACGGCAGTCGCAGTCACAGCCTCAGCCTCAGCCTGCCTCAGCCTCAGCCTCAGCCTGCCTCAGCCTCAGCCTCAGCCTGCAGCCTCAGCCTCAGTCTGCCTTCAGCCTCGGCCTCAGCCAGCCTGCAGCCTCAGCCTGCATCAGCCTCAGCCTCAGCCTCAGCCTGCCTCAGCCTCAGCCTCAGCCTCAGCCTCAGCCTCAGCCTGCCTCAGCCTCAGCCTCAGCCTGCTTCAGCCTCAGCCTCAGTCTGCCTTCAGCCTCGGCCTCAGCCTCAGCCTGCCTCAGCCTCAGCCTGCATCAGCCTCAGCCTCAGCCTCAGCCTCAGCATCAGCCTGCCTCAGCCTCAGCCTCAGCCTGCCTCAGCCTCAGCCTCAGCCTGCTTCAGCCTCAGCCTCAGTCTGCCTTCAGCCTCGGCCTCAGCCTCAGCCTGCCTCAGCCTCAGCCTCAGCCTCAGCCTCAGCCTCAGCCTCAGCCTCAGCCTGCCTCAGCCTCAGCCTGCCTCAGCCTCAGCCTCAGCCTGCCTCAGCCTCAGCCTCAGCCTGCTTCAGCCTCAGCCTCAGTCTGCCTTCAGCCTCGGCCTCAGCCTCAGCCTGCCTCAGCCTCAGCCTGCATCAGCCTGAGCCTCAGCCTCAGCCTGCCTCAGCATCAGCCTGCCTCAGCCTCAGCCTCAGCCTGCTTCAGCCTCAGCCTCAGTCTGCCTTCAGCCTCGGCCTCAGCCTCAGCCTGCCTCAGCCTCAGCCTGCCTCAGCCTCAGCCTCAGCCTGCCTCAGCATTCAAAATGTGGCCCGGGAATGGAGTTCTGGGAACTCGAAAAACACGAAGTGGCCTGCAGTTGGCTCCGGGCATTCAAAATCATGCCCAGGAATGGAGTTCTGGGAACTCGAAGACCACGAAGTGGCCTACAGTTGGCTCCGGGCATCCAAAATGTACCCGGGAATGGAGTTCTGGGAACTCGAAGACCACGAAGTGGCCTACAGTTGGCTCCGGGCATCCAAAATGTACGCCGGGAATGGAGTTCTGGGAACTCGAAGACCACGAAGTGGCCTACAGTTGGCTCCGGGCATCCGAAATGTACGCCGGGAATGGAGTTCTAGCAGCGCCAAGAGCGATTTTGCGAGGATGTCCCAGGCGATTTGGGCTTCGGCGGCAGCCGCCCCGGGTCCCGCCCCGACCCCCCTGAGGAGTCATCTGCTGCTCTCTTTTGACACCACTAGAAACCTATCAGTCTTCGCTGTTAGGTAAAAACGCTCGCGCTCCTGGGCGGAGGGGTGGGCTGTATCGGGTCCCACCATGTCGGCGACGAGTGGGCGACTGCAGGGGCTGGAGCCTCCCCGCCACGAGCCCATCCCAGACCCGGGCGGCTCTCGGGCCACAACTTGTCAAAGTCCCGAAGCGGTGCGGTGACAGACCGTGCGGTGACCTCGAAATCCCCCAAGACGTCACCGCGCGGTCCGTCAGCGCACGGTCTTGGGGCCTCAGATGCCCCAGTCGCCCGAGACGTCCTCGGAGAACGACCCGAGTGCCAAATCCGTGCGGTGACCCCGAACCCCCACCGACTCACCACACGGTGTGGTCACCACTCTGTCTGGGGGCCCCCGAATAACACGGACCTCCAGCGGCCGTTCGGGACGATCCGGGACCCCCTGGAACACTCTCGGCGAGGCGCAGCTGCTGGGGAGCGTCACGAGGCCGCAAGACCGCCGACGAAGACGTTCGAAAACTAGACATTCGGGCTCTTCCGTCCCAACCTTAGCCTGTCCCCCCCCGATCGTTGCCCATGAGAGCAGCGGAAGCGCACGTGTTGGGCCAATGCTCACATGTCCTTTTGCATGCACATCGTCTGTAGTCAGGCTGGCGCAGAAGAGCCCCGCAATGGACGAAGCGCTAGCCCGGTACACTGACAAAAAACTCATCGGCGTGCTGTGATCGTGCTATCTTTAGGTCGGGCATGTCCCCCTACAGGCGGATTTGGGACGAAACATTCAAAATACTAGAAAGATGCACCAACAGTGCTCAAACATGGTCAAAGCATCGTCCCCAGACTATGGTTTGAGTATTTCTGAATATTCCCCCTGCAGAGGGACAGGCCCGACTTATTGCTATCTCGCCTTGATCCGATGCCCACGGCCCACGGCGCGGGAGCCCCTTCGGGAGGCTGAAGGACACGAAGTGGAGCGTGGTGCCCGGCACGGGCGAGCGGGTCACGCCGCCGACGGTGCGGCGGTGGTACACGACCTGAGGCGTGCGCCTCCCCCCCCCCAAGGCCGGCTGACCGCCAACGGCGCGGCCTGCCCGCACGAGGGGCGAACCTGCAGCCGACGTGCATGGTAAGACATCTTGCCAGAAGGAATATAAGGCTTCTAAGCCTAAGCGCACGCTTGTCGTCAAACTTGGGGGCTCCCCGAGGTGCCCGGGAGCCTCTGTGGGCCCCCAGGGCCTCTTCCATGGGGCACCCGTTGGCAGGCGAGTGTCTTGTTTGGCGTGCCTACTGTTAGGTCGGGCATGTTCTCCCACAGTCGGCTTTTGCAGGGAAAATAAAGCATTGTCAAAAAATAACCAAAAACAGTCACAACAAAAAATACAAAATCGCTCCCAGTCTACTTTTTGACTAGTTTTGAATATTCCTCCTGTAGAGGGACACGCCCGCCTTAAGCCTACTGTACTCATACCCATGCTCTAGTAGTCCGCATTCCAGGGCGCGACCCCGTGGATACGCAGACACATGGATGCGTCGAGAGCGAGGCATGCACGAAAAAGCGCCTAGTATGCATGGGGTCGCGGCCCAAGGGCCGCGACCACCGAGGCCGTGGATGTGAATGTTTATCGCCGAGCTTTCCCCTCGATCCTCGAGGACCGAGGGCGGGCCAACGTGTCAAGGACATGTGTTAGGCTTGTCTGGTCGCTTCTGGCCTGCTTTCGCCCCCCGCCAGGCCTGCCGGCTTCCCCCCCGCCCCCCCGCCCCCCCCCCGAGATCCAGAGGAGCCAGCAGAAGTGATTCGGGCTGCTCGGGAAGTTCCTCCTCCTCCTCCTCTTCCTCCTCTTCCTCCTCCTCCTCCTCCTTCTCCTCCTCCTCCTCCTCCTCCTCCTCCTGCTCCTCCTCCTCCTGTGCGCGCGGGGGCGTCGGCGGCATTCGCACCTGCGAGAGCTAGGACCGCGCAGGAGCTCGGCCCCCCTCCATGGGGCCCCAGGCCTGGCTCCGAGTCGCGCGCGCTCCCCGCAGAGGCCTCGGCCCCGGCATCCCCAAGACTAGGTCGGGCATGTCCCCCAAACAAATGGATTTTGGACGAAGAATTAAGAACAACCCCAAAAATACTCCAACAAAACTCAAAAGTAGTCAACGAAAATCGTCCCCAGGCGAGCTTTTGACTATTTTTGAATACTCCTCCTGTAGAGGAACACGCCCGACTTAACCCAAAGAGGATGGGCCATCACCGAAGTTCCAGCCCGCACCGCGAGGGGGGAAGAGGGGCTGCAAGCAATTGTGGCTCTCGCTTGCGATCGCTCTCGAGCTCTCCTCCATCGTCGCCCGTAGCCCTGCAACCAATCCGCCTCCGTGCTCGCCACCCCGACAGAACTCTGCCGGTTCCTCCTTCCAGCTCCTCCCCTATCCCGCTCTCACTCGCATCTGGAATATGCAGTGCGAGACTCCACCACGAGGAAGTGGCAAACCCACGCACGCACGTAGGCAGACCCCTGGACATGCACCAGCATTGCCAGGTGGCCACCCCGTCAACCTGCTCGGCTTCACGCCCCGAGTCACTGCACCATCGGCGGCGATGGATCGACGTTGCCGTTCGGAGGAGAGGCCGCGAGTGTGCAGGCCCGCTCGAGGCCCAAGTCAGGCCCTGACGGCCGCGAGGCTTTGGGCGCACTCTCTCTGGGTGCCCTGGGAGCACCCTGCGCCGAATCTCACACATTGCCACCGGGGAGCTTCCGCAGATCAGCCCGCTGCATCGGGGCCGCTCGAGAAAGAAACGCGAACGCGCAGTCGAGGTGATGGGCCACGGCTGTTTTGCGCCTGGGTGCCCTCCAGTAAGCACGCTACACAAAACGAAACACCCCAAGCCTATTCCTCCTCGTCCTCGCCCTCCTTCTCCGCCCGCTACAGCTATTCTACATGATCTGTCCTCCGCCTATCCCGTAAATCATATCAGCCAGCGTTGACTCCAACTAGATTAGACGACTCAAATCCAGGAGTCAGAGGAATCGAGAATGCTTGGAATCCGCAACTCAGCAAGCAAGCGTGCAAGCAAGCGCGCAAGCGCGCAAGCAAGCAAGCAAGAAAGCGTGCAAGCACGCAAGCAAGCAAGCAAGCAAGCATACATGAGGGGGGGGCATTTGAAAAAGGGGGGGATAGGCATAGGCAAAGCCATAGCCATAGGAATTAGAGGGGGGGCATAAGAATTAGGGGGACAACGGACCAATTGGCAACGTTTGAGCTCGGACTCCTATAGGGCAATTCTATTACCCAGGATTGTTCGGCGCTGGCTTTCGATAAGCGCTTCCCATCGGGACGTTCTCGGCTGGTCAGCGGTTGCAGCAGTTGCCGCATTTCAGCAAGCCATATGTCATGATCGGTACTTTGCTGCCGTCGTTCAAATTCTGCACTCTCGCCCAATCGCGGGCCATATCTCTGGATTCAAATCGTTCCACGTCGTTGCCGCCGCCCTGAATGTCCCTCCTTTGTTTTCCCCTGGTCCTCCTGCTCCTACTACCCCTCATGCGCATGCTTGTGCTGCCTGTCCTCCTTCCTCATCGTCCTGATCTTCCTCTTGCTCATCCGCCACATCATCCTCATCCAGTGTACACAGGCCTCCTTTCTAATGGAGCATCGCACGGTGGGGCCATTTTGAGGATCAAGGTCATGTGGGACACCGCAGCTGGCGGATAGCATAGAATTCAACGCTTATTGGAAAAGATACGGGTGGGAGAGGTCGGATATCAAATATGGGCGCGCACCTGGCTTGCCCCATCCGTTCTTTCTCCCCGAAGTGTTCACGCATGGGTTTCCACCAGTGGTGGGGGACATATAGCCCAATAGCTTGGCTAGGAGATGGCCGCCCAACATCTGGCCACATAGACGCTTCCAAAAAGCAGCAGGCGGCGGTGATTCGCCGCAGGCGTCTTCGATCCGCCGCCGCCGCCGTAGCCGGCGGAGAAGTATTGGCGTGCTATACTACCGCATAGACCACCCTTCGGGTGATAAGGAGGTGAGGGGGGGGAGGGACCAACGTCGCACTCGATTGATCTCACTATCGAACTCACTACCGATCTCACAATCGATCTCAACCGATAGATCTCACAATCGATCTGACTATCGATCTCACAATCAATCTCACAATCGATCCCACAATCGATCTCACATTCGGTCTCGCTATTGATCTCACAATCGATATCACAATCGATCTCGCATTCGATCTGACTATCGATCTCACTATCAAACTCACTATCGATCTCATTATCGATCTCACATTCGGTCTCACTATCGATCTCACTATCGATATCACAATCGATCTCACAATCGATCTCGCATTCGGCCTCACTATCGATCTCTCTATCGAACTCACTTTCGATCTCATTATCGATCTCACTATCGATCTCACTATCGATATCACAACCGAACTCACAATCGATCTCACATTCGGTCTCATCATCGATCTCACTATCGAAATCACTACCGATCTCATTACCGATAGTGATCTCACTACTAACTCAATCGATCGATCTCACAATCGATCTGACTATCGATCTCACAATAGATTCCACAATCGATCTCACATTCGGTCTCACTATCGATCTCACTATCGATATCACAATCGATCTCACAATCGATATCCCATTCGGTCTCACAATCGATCTCACTATCGATCTCATTATCGATCTCACATTCGGTATCACAATCGATCTCACAATCGATCTCACAAGCGATCTGACATTCGATCTCACGTTCGATCTCACAATCGATATCACTACCGATCTCACTATCGATCATCAAAACAAAACATCAACATCGTCATCATCATCACCATCATCATCATCAATATCATCACCATAATCGGGACACCAACGGGGCACCGGCGGGACACCGCGGGCCCCCGGCCGCCCGGAAGGGAGCCATTTGGTCCGGCCGCGCCTCAGCCACACGGGACACCAGCGGGACACCGGCGGGACACCGCGGGCCCCCGGCCGCCCGAAGGGAGTCATTTGGTCCGGCCGCGCCTCAGCCACAGGAGACTTTCTCTCGCCCGCCCACGCAGCTTCGCCTCGCCCGCACGGCACGCACGAACACGAAACCGAAATCGATTTCCCGGTAAGGGGGCTCTCCGTTCCACTTCGATCTCACCCCCTCACCTCCGATATAGCTTGTTCTGGCCTTCCTAAAGGTTACCCATGCTCTCCGGCCCAACCCGTCATCTGCGCATCCCGCGGGCATTTCCGCCCGAGGCGGCTCCAAGGTGGCCTCGAAGACGGCATTTAGTCGCCGCCAAGATGGCCCCCGGAGAGCCCCAGATAGACCCAAGATGCCTCAAAGATGGCCCAAGATATCCCATGATGGGCCTAAGATGGCCTCAAGACGGCCCAGTAGGCCCCCAAGATGCCCCACGAGGGTTCCAAGAGGACCTCCAGGAGGCCCCGGGGAGGCCAGAATATTTGGTTCCCTTTGGGCTTTTCAATTATCATCCCGTTCTCGCCCCTCGGTTCCACGGCCCACGATGGCCCGAGAGGCCCCCAAGATCGCCTCAAGACGGCCCAAGACGCCGCCAGAGGGCCGCGAGACGGACCACCAAGTTTCTGTTCGACGATGACACCACGAACAGTGAGCACTGCAGATTGCCACAGCAAGGCCGCGCCACCAGGTGCCACGGAGCTGCGCCTGGCAAGCGAGGACAACAAAACAGGGGGGGGGAGCAGGGGGCGGCCGCCACAAGTGCGGCAAGGTGGCCGCAGCAAGGTGGCCGCTGCGGGGCCGGAGCTGGGCCGGGCTGGCGCGGGAGCTCTTTCCCCCGGCCGCGTGGCCGACATTCGGGAAGCCCGAGAGGGGCAGCACAGCGAGATGGAAGCTAGACTGAACTAACACAGTACCGTCGGTTATGACCCACATAGCCGCGAGCACAGAACTATCCCAGGCTCGAGCGGCCAATGATGATGTGCGTGGGGACCTCTCGGAGGCGAGAGCAGGGAAGAGAAAAAAGGAAGCAAAACCGAGGAAGGAGGGAGACGACCAGAACACTGTG